GGGATGAAGATGTCCCCAGGGAACCGTCCACTTTAAAGGGTCGGTTTCGACCTGCTTCCTTGTTATGTCCTTAGTTATGTTGTTGTCATTGTATGTCTTCATTTTAGTTGGGTCCCCACTCAGAGCCGCTATATATCCCTTGGAAGGTAGTCGCCTTTAAATGGTCCCTAGGTAGTCTCAGTTACGAGGGTTGGCGCACGCCGTTATGAGGAAATGCGTTCATCTCAACAAACACCTACCCCACCAACTTAATGACGACAGGAGGGGAACGTACTCTGAGGCCTCTCATGCTTTAAACGGGACGGGGGTGGCCTTAGCATTAGCCCATCAGCCATTTCTGCAGGGTGTCGCCCGTATCGAACAAAGGTCAAATCCGTAGGAGTTCTAGAAAGGCCGTAAAGCCCGCAGGTCATTTAGCGTTACCCAGGATCCACCGCGTGAAGGCTAACCTGCGTTACATCCCATATATTCAGTATAAGGATCCAAGGAATTATACTTAAGTTTATTTTTGAAAATTATTGGAGAGTCAAATATATATATACTTTTTATTACAAAATTTATAATTTTTACGGATTATTAAAAATTATTTTGGAAGATTATATATGTTTGGAAAATAATTTGAAAATTTTGAAATTGAAAAAGTTTGGCAGAAATGATTGTTTGTCGAAAAATTAAAATGAAAGAAAACATAAATGTATAAAAACGTAAATCAGAGAAATAACACAAATATTATTAGTTACTCTTATTAAATATAAAAATGCCTCGAAAGCGGAAATCGGCGCTGTCAAGAAATTCTACGCCGGTGCGTAAGGCTAAAGTTACACGAAATAAAGAATGTGAAGTTCAAGCAGAGCTGAGAAGGCAACAGCAAGCAGATCGACAACGTGTTTTGAAAGCAGCTGAAACTTCTCATCAGGCACGAGTACGTTCGAAAAGACAAGCTAAGCAGCAGAAGCTAGAAGAGCAACGGAAACGCAAGAACAATTGCAGTCAAAAGAATTAATGATGCAGAAGTAAGAACCACGCGTCGTCGTAATTTCATAACTAAGAATATAGTTTATAAAAATATACTGGATTAATCATCTATATTGCTTATTTTAAATTGATCCATTTCTAAATTATGTAATTTCGTTATAATGAAATATATCTTTGTTGTATTGATTCAATAAAGTATATTTTAAAATTTGAAAATTTATTGTACTGCATTTTTATTGAAATCACACATCACATTTCACAAAAATGAATTACAATTTAATATTTATATTTGGACTTTACTTATAATTCACATGTTGAGAATGGAAGCAATTTATATGGTATACGTATAGAAATGTAAATACATAAGCTTTTTGTCAACTACATATGAATAAAATATACTTTAGATTAAAAACTATTCTGAGTTTTATGTTTTGTTTTTGAGCTGGGACAATGGATTTCTTCTAATTAACTATCTGCAATAATGTAATTATATTAATGTCTCATTTATATCTCAAGTTCTGGTGAGAATGAGCGTCAAAAATAAATTTCTTCTTCATCTGGTTTAACATTGTTATTTTTGTTGCGGCGTTTTAAATTGCTGGTCCCAATTGTTGACAAACAATTTTTTCCCGGCTGTGCCATTGCTTGAGAATTGCGCGAGGAAGTGGGCGTCTGTCGCTGGCTAAAAGTTAAAGTCGATGAGGAATCCGTACGACTCATGCTCACAGTTGACGGAGGGGGTGACGTTGCTGTTCTTGTATTAGGATGTTGAATAATTGCAGGTGAACTACCAGTGCGCGCATGGTGTGGAACAATTTGGGACGTTGATTGTGTCGTGTTAAAATTGTTAGTAGAACGTTTATCAGCCAGCTTGAGTGGCAACATCTGTGTGCAGCCGGCTTGTTGTAAGACACTTGCATTAAAACTGGCAGATTTGTCAATTTTGCTGCTGCCGGAGTTGGGACTGCTTAAGGATGTGCTTGCCGAGAGAGAAGATAACTTCATAGGAAACTTCTGTTTAATACAAGTCTGATTTATTTTTGGTGCATTAGTGGCACTTAGCAAGTTACCAGGTGGATTTTTAGAAATCGTCGAAGCTGTACGCCATTTGTCTTTTCGTCGATCGACAGTACTCTGGGCTAAGATGGTTGGTGTGGACAAATCGCTTTGCAAATTACCTCCTTCGTGACTATCGTGTGCATCATCACCAGAAGAAGTTGTTGCCAATGATGGACTATTAATCAATAGAGGTGTATTGGGCGACAGTAGTAATCCTTGATTTGAGAGTAATTCCATTTTACGATAAAGTTGTTCCCGTTGTTGTTTGATATCTTCTTGTTCAGCTTTGATTTGCTCTTGAAGTTTAATTTGCTGTTCATGTTTTTCCTCTAATTCTTGTTCCTGTTGCTCTTTTTGGCGTAACCAAACAGTTTTCTCGTCCTGTAATTTGTCCTGAAGATTTCTTAACTCTTCTAATTGGTCATTATGGGTATAAGCGACTCGTGGACTTTCCCGATACAATGCCAATTGTAATTGCAAGTTTTGTATAACTGTCATCTGTTGTGACACTATGCATAGTAAAGAATGAAGATGATGTGATATTTGCAATGCGGCATAATTATGATCTTTGATGGCAATATCTTCAGTCTGCATAGGTTCAGTTTCAAGTGTCGTTGAGGACTGTAAGCCACTTGTTAAGGATTGGATTCTCAATGTGACCACGGATGAACCAGATTTAGGATCACACTTCTCTTCCAACTCTTGTAGCCGTGGTGTTAGAGTTTGTAATGCTGACATTTTCGACGCGTCCCTAAACGAAAAACTACCTTTACCTCGTTTTTCGTCAAAACCAGCAAACGTTTCTGCACGTTTCGGTAGTGTAGGAGATGCATAACTGTCACTTTGTTTTTCCCCTACCGAACTTACTGAACGCGACACTGGCAAACCAGTAGATGCTGTATACACCATAGCAGCCAGCTGGCTAATACTTTGCACCATATTCAACACATATTTCCATAGCTCGATAGTATTACAATCCACGCCCACTAAATCCTTATAGGAACCAAACGTAGAAAGGAAATTTGAAGCGTTTGCTGGGCTGCCATTAATGTATGCACCATTTCCATGGGTTGAACAACTATTATTTTGCCCAGATGTTGCAGTAACTTCAAAAAAATTATTCTGCTCTTTTAATAAATTCAGTTGGAGATATATCTTGTCCTCCAATAGAATTGCATGATCAATATCTTTCTGTCTTATTTTATCAATAAGATCCCGTCTACTAACACCAATTCGAAGTTTTTCTTCAGCTGTAAGATCTTCAGTTTCTATAACATCCGATGATGGACACTCCAGAACGGCCTGCCGTATTGACTGAATCCAAGTATTCTTATCCTTAGGCTGCTGCACTTTTAATTCATACATTTCCGGAAAAGATGGATTTGAAGAAATTATATAAATACCGCGTGCTTCTGTTCCCGCTTTTTCACGAATGAGCAATTTTTGTAATGGAACTACACCCGCTTTATGTTCTGGTGTAAAAAATGTGTACTTGTTGTGGGCAGAATTCTCACAAAGGAAGAATAGACAGTCGGTGAGTACAACAACTAATACTAATTGCATCTTTGAACGCCCTTGCATTAAAGTTGCATAACCTTCAAATTTCAAACGACGACGTGATTCAACTCCAATATCTGACTTGCGAAATGGTTTATTTTTATATATGGCAAACGATTTCGGGTCGACGCGATTAAAAATTTCGATTTGTCTTTCTCGTAACTCTTTCTCAGCAACGCAAGCATCAACATCTATAAGCAAGGCTTTTACTAAATTAAGCGCATGCTGAAGCTTATCCGCTTCCAATTTATCTTCCCGCCCACTTTTAAGAAGGGGTTCGATCAACAAAGGATACTTAGTAAGGCGCTGGGTAACAAATAGTATACATTCTGGAATTCCTTTTTTCTTTAATAACGGATTAGCTAAACAGTGTTTGTACCACTCAGCAAACGTTTGATCACGACTGGTCATGCACGTCTTAAAATGTTCCAGTGCTGTTCGATGATTAGCACAAAATTCCCCATATGCTATCCTTAGGTGTTGTGCTTTTTCCAATGAAAAAAAATCTAATAATATGTCAGCTATACTATCAACGACATACTGCTCTCGTTGCTTTTGTCTTAATTTTTTCAAAAAAGTTATATGCAACTCAGTTAATTCTGATAAACGGGGGAACATGTTATTTATATTCCATGAAGCAAAATGACGTTCCAAACTTTCGACAAAAACTTTTTGCATTACAAGGAGAGTTTGACAATGGTGTTTCTCTGTCATAATAAACTCATAAATATGTTCCTGTCTTTTAATCTGCTTTTCTTTGAGAGATTTTAGAACGTCCTTGGGAACACTGGGTGACCATGAATCATGCTCCTCAGCTGCTATTCCAAGTATTGGATCTGCGCCTAGATCCTGAGCTTCGATAGGTGGGTCATTTAAAAATTCAGAACGTATCAAGGGTGTGTCGTCGTTAAGATTTAAGGTCTGATCAACTCCATCGAAATAGTCTTGACCAATTTCTGTTTTATCTGCTCCCTTCTTTACACCAACCAATAACAATTTTTGACCACTACTGAAACCTGATTTTTTTCCTTTGCATTCTATTTGATGTTCCTTAAAATTTAATGTTGATATATTGATACCACACGAATCACATACACCAGTGTGACCTCCAGACTTGATTTTATTTTTATCCTTTTTTTTGCGAAAGAATAGTGAACCCCGCTTTCGTCGTTTCTCCACATTGTCGTATGCCTCAATTTTCACATGGGCTCTCAAAAGGCTTTGGTTTTCATCCTCGCTATCATACAGATGACGAGATTTAATCTCTTCTTTTGCAACTATTGATGAAGTAGATATGCTTTTTTGTAGTGGAATACGAATTTCGGTTGCTAGACTACGCTTTGCCGCAATTCGCTGAAAATCCCGAGCTAACTCTGCCTCGTTAAGGGAGTGTGTTGATATGCCTAAAAATAATTTTTAAATGGAAATTAAAAGTTTAACAACTACGACATGTTAGAAACAATAACAACAACCAAAATGAACAAAGAAATATATGAATAAAGTTTTTGCAAAATTACAATTGTGGAGAAATGTACACGATTACCTTTACATTCACTATGAAGTTGTTCCCTCACGATTTTTAATATCTTCGGCACAAAGAGAATGCATAAAATATATGCAAAAAAATATTACCTTCTTCAATTTAACACTCAGACCGGTTCGCGTATTATCAGCTGACAGATTTGTATTTGCCTGAAAACTATCATCTTAATATGATTTACAATTTCGGAAATCGGTTAAATTTTACAATAGCAACCCCCAAAAATCGATTGAAATGGATATGTACGGAGACGAGGCTTTCCAGATGAAAAGAAAAAAATATATATAGCTGCCCCTAACTAGTGGTTTCTGAGCTATTTGCATTTTAATTTGAAAATTTCTACTATTTAAAGTGGGTGTTTCTTCGACTTATAAAAATTTTACACTTATCATTTTAGCTTTTATATCCACTAATACTTTACTAAATTCGTTATTACGCATTTATTTAATATTAAATATTGCATAAATTCTTTAACTCAACATTTAACTTATCTTCAATTCTCCAAATCTTAATACTATTTAGCAAAGGGACCAAAGAAATAAAAAACAGATAATATATGTATGTTAATTTGAAAACTTACCTCCGGTGCTATTTCTAGCAGAACGTCGACGCTGATCTGTAGCACATATTGTTTCAGGTTCTTCACTATCCAAGCTAGATAAACTAATACTTTTGTTTGTAATATTCAGATCCTCAATGGTTGTCCAAGATCGACGACGTTCATTCATAGGAACATATTGCTGTTGTCGTGGCATCCATCTAACATAGTGCCCAAGAGCGTGTGTTACATTAGCATTGCTATTTACTGAATATAGGTCAGGTAAAGATGCGCTTAGAATAGCCGCATGAACTGGCCAGAAACTAGTAAAACCATCATGCATGTGGGCACTGCAATTTTTCATTTGTACCACAGTCTCTCTTATACTTTGAAGTTGTGTCAGGGTGTCTTCGAAAATATTATTAAATTTTGTTATTGATGCCGGACTGTGCGGGGTTACATTTATTGTAGGAATCATATTATTATTACAAGAATTATTTGAGTGCAAAACTGGTGGAGTATCTATAATAGGAATGCAATAATTTTGACTCTCAGAATAGGGACGCGGTTGATTAGTTAGGTGTTGCGTCTTTGTATTTTGCAATTGGTTTTGTAAATTCGGTTCAGTTACAGAATATATGGGATCAGTATTAGATGTAGTGTTGGAATTTAGAAAATCAGTAATCACATCATTATCGCTGTCATTGTCAACTGCTGCCATTATAAAAAACAGCTAATATCTTCTAAATGAAATATAGCCTTTTCCAACCTTGAAAAGAACATAAGAATACATATTAATAACACACAAAGTAACTATATATGGATATACAAATACATACTTTTTTATAATCTTATAAATGTTGATATGTTCAATTAAAGAGATAAACACAAAAATCAAATATTCGATATTTGTGCGAAGAAATCAAACACGATAATATATTTTAACCTTCACTAACTTTCCCGAAATTACATATCCCATATTTCATTATATCTTATAATTTACCCAGACGAAACTTTTCTCCATGAAAACAAATACACGAACAAAATTTCTTCATATTTTTTGCTTTACTTTCTTTACAAGTAGTAGATAGTGATGCCGGCGTGTAAAAAAAAACAGATGTAAAGCAAAAATAATATGAGTATACAGTGGATTCTTCGAAAATTGTAAGCAAAGGAAGTCTCATAAATTTACAACGACGCCTATAATATATATTTAACGGAATTTATTTAAAATTTTATATTCAATTCAAGATATGGCTCGACTTTCGAATAGTCACAGGATTTGAGGGATAAAATGGGTATGGGCGGATAGAGGAAGTACTCAAAATTGGGTATATAGATATAGTTATATCCGCGGGAAACTTATAGTTTTCGAGATATTTGCGCTTAAAAGTAAAGGTTTCCCTATTTAAAAATTTTGTTTCGATTTAAAATGAATTTTATATTTATATTTTACATTTTTATATCCACCAACGCTTCACTAATGCGTTTGTACACATATATTTCACATTATATAGTGCAATAATAGTTTTAAATAAACATTTAACTTTGGCTTAAATCCATTTATTCACACAATAAAGGACGGTTGCATATTGCCAAATAACCAGTAACAGTAAATAACAATTAAAAATTGTTCAGTATTTTCCTTTCCCAAGGTTATTTTTTTAAAGCGCGACAGAAGGTCGCCAATACAAAAAGGAGTTCTACGCAGAATAACTGATAACCCGGTTTGGTTCGTCCAGGGTTATTTTTTGAAGCGCGGCAGATGGCCCACCAGGGTTATTTCTTTGAAGCGCGGACGAAATCGTAACGGAAACCAGTTTTATGCGTTTTTTTTTTTATCAGAAATAAAGCAAGCAGATAGTTTAGAAATTAATTTATTTTATCATTACGAATTAACGTGTTTCCATTTCCATTAGGGGAAAATATAAGATAGGAACACAAAATGCCATAATTATTGAGTTTGATTAATTACTAAACGAAACAATACATATATATTAAGATTGACAAAACGTAATACATAATATTTAACAGCATAACAAAAGCATCTTTATTCAGGCGATAAAGTAATATAAACCTGGAAATTAAGCAAGTAAACACAAGCATAAAAATGCAAGCTACATTTAACTCCCTCGGACGTCAAGTAGATTATTGTAATCTCTTAAAATCTTTCTTTTAATCTGTTTTGCTCCCTTCCTCCAATAAAATAATAGATAAAATTGGAGAATTCATTGGTAACTTTAATTGAATGGCCTTCAAATTTACTCAGTTGGTGCCGTTTCAGACAGGGATTCAAAAGAGTCTGATGTTTTTCAAATTTTCTTTTGGTGTCGCTCTGGGCATTCACGCAGTCAAAAAGAGTCCAGCAACTCGAGTCTAGTTTTTCTGCATTCCTTTTCACAAAATGTTCGTAAATATTTGTGCAGTTCGACTGCGCAACACCGCGCAACACTGCATGCTGCGTATTTCATTTGTATGTTGAGATGATGGTCACACATTTTGCTTGCAATGAATACCATGAATATAGTAGAACAATATGCATAATACAAGTACCTACCCGCTAAATAGTTTCAAAAATACTAAAGACGGAATTCCCTAATCCACAAGAATGTATTGAATATCCGCTACTAATATTTTCAAGGCCAAATTATAATAGGATTTCCTAATCTTTAAGTATTAAAAACTCATAATTTCTTTACTATGTATTAAAATTCATAATTTCTTTACTCCATATCTATATCTTAATTCTCCTTATTTACAATTTGTCATAATATTTCTATTATTCTATGCATACGTATTTGCATATTACATACAAAAATAGATAACAGAACTCAAATTTGCGATCGAATTCATTTGAAACCGAGCGCTCTTGCAACCATTCAAAGGATTTGAAAGTGAAAAGGAATGCTGAAAAGGGTAGCAGCGAGCTGTTACGAACAAGAACACAAAGCGTGCCACCCGAACACGAGTGGCACGGTCCCTTCGTCTTTCCTCGTCGTCCCCTCACCCACAATAAACTGGTATGAGACTCTTTTGCGTCCCAATGTGAAACGGCACTTGTAAGATTTGTAAGTGCCGTTTCACATTGGGATGCAAAAGAGTCTGATGTTTTTCAAATTTTCTTTTGGTGTCGCTCTGGGCATTTACACGGTCAAAAAGAGTCCAGCAACTCGAGTCTAGTTTTTCTGCATTCCTCTTCACAAAATGTTCGTAAATATTTGTGCGGTTCGACTGCGCAACACCGCGCAACACTGCGTGCTGCGTATTTCATTTGTATGTTGAGATGATGGTCACACATTTTGCTTGCAATGAATTACCATGAATATGGTAGAACAATATGCATAATACAAGTACCTACCCGCTAAATAGTTTCAAAAATACTAAAGACGGGAATTCCCTAATCCACAAGAATGTATTGAATATCCGCTACTAATATTTTCAAGGCCAAATTTATAATAGGAATTTCCTAATCTTTAAGTATTAAAAACTCATAATTTCTTTACTCCGTATTAAAAATTCATAATTTCTTTACTCTATAATCTATATCTTAATTTTCTCCTTATTTACAATTTGTCATAATATTTCTATTATTCTATGCATACGTATTTGCATATTACATACAAAAATAGACAGAACTCAAATTTGCGATCGAATTCATTTGAAACCGAGCGCTCTTGCAACCATTCAAAGGATTTGAAAGTGAAAAGGAATGCTGAAAAGGGTAGCAGCGAGCTGTTACGAACAAGAACACAAAGCGTGCCACCCGGACACGAGTGGCACGGTCCCTTCGTCTTTCCTCGTCGTCCCCTCACACACAATAAACTGGTATGAGACTCTTTTGCGTCCCAATGTGAAACGGCACTAACATTAGTAAACAGCTGATTCGAATATTGGTTTAGCGTACGGCTGTGATATCATTCAACATCAATTAGTTTGCAATGCTGTCAACTAAGTCCCAGTTCACACACGGTTCAATATTTATTTTTTGTATGTGATATGCAAATAGTATGTAATATGAATAAAATAATAATACTATATACATAAATGAATTCTAACAAAAATAAAAAAATGTTAATGTTACTTATTTTTATTTACATACTATATTAAAATGCCTTCATATACTTTTATTTTAACTGCAAAGGATTTAGTTCAAATATCATTTTATTTAAAATAAGAGTTGTAATTGATTCATAAATATTTTATAATAAATAGAAAAATGGAGTAAAATGCTATTGGATTTTATTACTTCTCGAAAGATTAGGAAATTCCTGTTATAAATGTGGCCTTGAAAATATTAGTAGCGGGTATTCAAAACATTCTGGTAGATTAAGGAATTCCCGACTTTTTATTCTAGTATTTCTATGAAACTATTAGCGGCCTTTACACGGTCATTCATGTTTGCAAGCATGTGCGGCGTGATGAGAAAAATGAGCGTGTAAACATAATAAATTCGTGTTCGTCATACATGTGCGATGGTTTTTAAAAATTTTTAAAAACATGATGTTTTATGAACACGTTTTATGGTGTAAGCGCTTACATCATGCAGGCAGTATATTTTTTCAGTCGTAAGCAAACATTGAAGCGTAATGACGTCACGGATAAACGAAGAACTGTGGAAGGACTTCTTTGAAATTTATCTAAGCGTTATGGATGGCTGGATTATAAATTTAAAAAAAAATCATATAATATAAAAAAAACATATAAATAAAAAAAAATTATAACAAAGAAACAATACAAGTCATAATAAAATATCATGGTTTTATGATGAACGTTTTAAATTAAATTAGTAAATAAAATTTAGTTGCACGTTGATCAAAAATATTTGTGTCGTTCCCTGAAATTTCGTTTCGTACTGCTTTTGTTAGCTATTTTTAGCGGGTTTATTTCTGGCATCCCGCCTTTTTTGACATCAAGTGTTCGAAATTCCCTGATTTCAATAATCAGGGAATGAGAATAACAGAAAAATCAGCGAAAATGAGAGAGTCTCGCTTCATGTCATCCTTGTCATTTCATCCTTGATGTTGCTTCGTTCACAAATAACAGAGAAATAAAGTATGATTGCATGTTCGACCGTTTAAACGAAAACCAGTTTTTTTTTGCATCATACCATGTTTGCATACAAAAATGACCGTGTAAAGGCCGCTATTAAGGGGGTATATAATGATGAGAGCATGTTGATATAATGGTGAGAGCAATTGATAAGTGTGCTTTTACATTGGGACTCTTTTGACCCTCATTTTTTTCAAATTCTCTTTTGGTGTCGCTCTGTGCACTCACACGGGCAAAAAGAGAGCAGCAACTCGAGTCTAGTTTTTCTAAATTCATTTTCACAAAATTTTCGTAAATATTTTTGCGGTTCGACTGCGCAACACTTAGAGTGTGTTGCATTTCATTTGTATGTTGAGATGTTGGTCACACATTTTGCTTGCAATGAATTAACATGAATATGGTAGAACAATATGCACAATACCTAACTGCTTAATAGTTTCAAAGAAACACTTAAGACGGGAATTCCCTAATCCACAAGAATGTATTGAATATCCGATACTAATATTTTCAAGGCCAAATTTATAACAGGAATTCCCTAATCTTTAAGTATTAAAAATTCATAATTTCTTTACTCCATAATTTATATCTTAATTTTTTCTTTATTTACAATTTTTAAAATATTTCTATTATTCTATGCATACATATTTGCATAAAAAAAAATAGATAACAGAATTCAAATTTGTGAACGAATTCCTTTGAAACCGAGCGCTCTTGCAAACATTCAAAGAATTTGAAAGTGAAAAGGAATGCTGAAAGGGGTAGCAGCGAGCTATTGCGAACAAGAACACAAAGCGTGCCACCCGAACATGAGTGGCACGGTCCCTTCGTCTTTCCTCGTCGTCCCCTGACCCACAATAAACCGGTTTGGGTTACAAAAGAGTCTGTGTGTAAAAGCGGTCTAAACGTTAAAAACTATTGAACTCAGCCAACTGTCAAAATTCAGTAGATTTTGACGTTTAGCAATTGGAAAACAGGGCCAGCCAGATTGAAATCCTACCATAAATAAATGTGAACAGAGAGATTCATTGCCGCTGTTGAAGATCACTAACAAAAATTGGAAAACAATGAAAATTAAAGAAAACGCGAGATTGAAATG